AGAGTGTTTGAGTGTTTGCGGCCTACGCCACTTATTTATCGAGTGAGACTGTTTCGGTGATGTATTAACTTCACAAAAGGTAGGCGACCGTCCTTCACACGGACGAAAGAGGGAGTGCTCCACACGGAGCAGCTCCAACGCTCCAACAGCAAGGAGGGGCCCCGTGACACATCACGGTGCCCCCTACCAAACGGCAATCTTACCAATCTGCGTGACACCAAATCATACAGCACGTGTATCCAACACCAATGTTCGCAGACTCTCGAACAACCTCCACTTCTTCCCTTTCTGGTCTCTCAAGCAAATCTCTCTACTCAACGTTTACAGGGTCCAACCAGATCAACTACATGACATCATGACGTTCCCGGTGCTTACCATGTAGCCAAAAGCCCTATACGTAGACTAGATGCCTACAGCAGTATATATATTTGCGGAGAACGATCTACTATTACGTACAGCAGCAGTGCAGTAATGACTGGATATATATGTTGTATACTTAGGACAGCAGTCAAGCAGCAGTAAGACTAGAATCAGGCGATTGGCGACGTCCAACAGCGATCACACAGACAGACAGTTGCTCGCAAGCTCAGTAATCGGCGTATGTAACAGGTTCAGCACTCACAGGGATTCGCACTTGGTGGGGCAAAGGCACAGGATATGGTTGAATTGATCTTTTGCTTCGGGGCGATGTCAAGTGTATCATGTACACTATTCGGACAAAATATGAGGCGCCTCGTGAGTCGTCTCATGAGCGTTCATGAGGGGTGATGACCGCTCATGACAGCTCATGACAGCTCATGACCGGTTAGGGTTACCTCATGATCGCTCATCACCGCTCATGATCGCTCATGAGCGCTCATCACACCTCATGATCGCTCATCATCACTCATGACAGCTCACCACGGATCATAACCACCTATCACCACTCACGAGCGCTCATGAGCGCTCATGAACGCTCATGGAAGCTCACGACAGCTCACCACGGCTCATAACCGCCCATAACCGCTCATGAGCGTCCATGAACGTTCATCACAGCTCGCGAGCGCTCATCACCGCCCACAACAGCTCATGTGCGCTCATGACAGCCCACGAGCGCTCACGAACGCTCCTGACAGATCACGAGCGCTCACCACCACCCATAACAGCGCATGACAGCTCACCATGGCTCACAACAGCTCATGCGCGCTCATGACAGCTCATGAGCGCTCACGAACACTCCTGACAGCTCACGAGCGCTCATCACCGCCCATAACAGCGCATGACAGCTCACCACGGCTAGTAACCGCCCATGAGCGCTCCTGAGCGCTCATGCACGCTCATGGAAGCTCATGACAGCTCACCACGACTCATAACCGCCCATGACCGCTCACGAGCGCTCATTACTGCTCATTACTGCTCATGATAGCTCACCACGGCTCAAAACCGCCCATGAGCGCGCATGAACGCTCATGAACGCTCATCACCGCCCGTAACAGCGCATGACAGCTCACCACCGCTCATGACCGCTCATGACCGCTCATTAACGCTCATTAACGCTCATGGAAGCCCACGACAGCTCACCACGGCTCATAACCGCCCATGATCGCTCACGGGCGCTCATGGACGCTCAACATAGCTCACGAGCGCTCATCACCGCCCATAACACCTCATGAGCGCTCGCGGCCGCTCAGTACCGCTCATGATAGCTCACCACGGCTCATAAGCGCCCATGACCGCTCACGAGCGCTCATGAACGCTCATGAACGCTCGTGCACGCTCATGGGAAGCTCATCACAGCTAATGAGCGCTCATGACAGCTCACCACGTCTCATTATCGCTCATGAGCGCTCACGACTGCTCATTACCGCTCATGAGCTGTCATGAGCGCTCATCATCGCTCACAACCGCCCATCACCGCTCACGACCGCTCATGACCGCGAATGGCAGCTCATGGGCGCTCATGGGTGCTCATGGGCGATCATGGCGGCTCATCACCGCTCATCACCGCTCATGAGCGCTCATGAGCCCTCACGACCACTCATGAGCGCCCACGACTACTCACGAGCGCTCATGACACACACCATGAGACCTTACGACACCTCATGCCGCCTCATGACACCCCATGAGACCTCACTTTACCTGATGACACCTTCTTGTATGTTTCATAGGCTCGCGTTGTCTGTTGCTCCTCATGAAACCCCGCGGCACACCGTGGCACCCAATATACCCCGCCATGGGCCTCGCCAACGCTCATGACCGCCGTGCATGTAGGTGTCATTGTCATTTCGAGCAAGTCTGTATACGAACCCCGTGGTAGACATTGCACCTGTTGGGTAACATAAAAAATGCCATGGGACCTCATCGGTCCAAGGGCTTTCGAAATGCAAGGTGTTAACTGACACCCGAGGATTAGTGTCTACGCTATCCCATGGGATGTAGTCGGTATTTCGAATAATCGGACACCGCAAGCGCGGCACAAGAAAAGCCTGTCGCCCGCATTACGTCATGCCGCTGCCGCATGCTAGTCGATGGGTTCGGGTGCAGTGCCTGATCCCATATGTGACCGGATCGTGCCAAGTAAGTTTTTCCTTCTCGAACAATAAATTATCAAGAATAATGTATGTACTCAAGTGACATTAACGTAACTAGCAGGAAAGGACATGAGTATAACCATAGTTGTTGTTGTTGTTGTTGTTGTTGTTGTTGTTGTTGTTGTTGTTGTTGTTGTTGTTGTTGTTGTTGTTGTTGTTGTTGTTGTTGTTGTTGTTGTTGTTGCTGTTGTTGTTGTTATTATTGTTGTTGTTGTCTTCACATTAAAAACCGTTGCGTTCTCTCTGCCCAGTACCTTCTTCTGTCCGTACTAGTCTAACACTTGATTGACGGGGTCGATTCCCGTGGTCACAGGCTAAGTTACCCAAAATAGGTATACGAAGAAAATAAAATGGACCCGAAGGGTCTGCAAGCCAATAAAAGTCAACGACAGATAGTCTAGGCCACCCCTCTCGCCTCTACACGCTATGCGAGGTAACCCTAGATTGGAAAAAGAAAGAGAAAGAGAAAAAGAAGAGGAGAGCAGATGGAGCGAAGGGAAAGCGAAGGAGAAAGACACGGGCAGAGAAAGACACACGCCGTAGCGACAGACAACAAACAAACAGACAGAACAACACAAGACAACACGAAACAAAACAACACCAAACGCCCCCCCCGAGCCAGCAAATGCACTTCATCACTAGCGGGGGGTTGGTGGAATGGTGCAATGCCTAAGGGGGGGGGGGATGAGTCAAGCAAGGGGTTCAATTCGGCACAGTGTTCGCGTCACTCGGTCCGCCTCTTCGCGCTGCCTGTCTTCCCTCGCCGTCTCGTCCGCCTGCTGTACCCCTCCCGCCCCCGTGGTTGTTGCCGTGTCCGTGTTGTTGCCGGGCTTCTTGTTTCGTTTGAGCGCTCGTTGTCGGCTAGCCTCCTCTTCCTTCTTGTGCCAGGAGGCCATGAACCTCTTAGCTCCCTGCAGTACCCCTGTATGCCACGGTACCCCACGGTCCACCTTCGCTGCTTCCGTCCAAGTTGTTTCGGGGACTCCGAAGAAGCATGGCTCGGCATCCGTAGATCGGTGCTCTGCTTCGAACATCTTGAGTTCGTCCTTCAGGCACATCTGCCAGTTTTGCTCCGGTTTCCCCCTGCCTGGGCCCTCTCCCCCCACCGCCAAGCATCACCCGTTTCGGGAGTCGTCCGTCTGGCTGCCTTGCCAGCGCTCCCGCGGACAGTAGGCGCCGTTGCCGAATCCTTGTTTCCGCGCTCTTGCACCCTACCCTCTTCAGGGTCTGGGCGTAGGAAAACTGCCGGTAGGTGCCCTTCTTGCGTTGGTAACCGATAACTCGCATAGTATAAAATTTAGTACATGATGAGGCCTCTCGCCGCGAGGCTATGGTCAGACAAAGCGCGTGTTATCCACACAGGTGCTACAATCAAAACGAGTCTCCTCACTCCTCGCAAGGAAGGCGATCACTTGACGCCCTTGCTTCCCCCATGTGACTCACGCCATTCTGCCCCTAATCCCAAACTAATATCCGCGACGAGTGTCAGCAAAATAATCAGTGGTGAGCGTGTTTCTACCAAAGGTACCTGGAGGAATGTGATGGGCAGCAAATGTGCTCTAAATGGTCACGATGGACCATCTGCCCATCCAATCAGCCTTTCAGGTTTTGCAGCAGAGTACTTAGCGCACAGCCCAAACCATACAAGATGCACCGGCAGTCTCGTACATGGAACCGTTCACAGTGTACTCGGCAGACATCGTCGCAAGCACCGCCTTCCTCCCCCCACGGCCGTGCGGAGAGGTTGACAACATGAACGTCTACACACCCAGGATGAAAAACCCAGACGACACTCCCGCGTTCTAGACGATGACCGGCTATCCCAGGTCATGGCTAGGGCTCTGAAAGCTGGGAACGTGAACGCCTACTCGTGTCTATTAATTAAGATGTCACGCTCGTCTGTCGTAACGTCGCAATCGTGGTGTTGCCCACGATCCATAATCTCCTTGCGTCCCCGTTGTTGGTATACTGTAATCATATCGCTCTTTGTGTAGCCTTTGCGCTCCTCTCGTCAACTCCCATGACTGACACATCTGTTTGCGACCCGAAGCGAATTCGGACAGCGCAGGAGGAAAGGCGATGAATGCGAGGTAGGCGCGACTGTATCGGAGCACTCTTTGTCTGTTTACTGTACGTGCAATGAGGTACAAACAGAAGAAGCAGATCGCTGGCCTGCAACGCCAAGGATCGTCATGGTAGTTGTTTGTCGGGCAGAGTCCAACCGTCCTAATAACGCGTGAGCCATTGTTATTAACGACGCTACGGTAGCTACATCGCAGGCACAACACGAGATATGGGGACGCGTCACACATCCGTGCGGATCGGCAGCACCGGGCGTCGGACACCTCACCGGACGACATCGTTGGCGGATCCGCCACCACCTCCACGTCTGGAGTGCTGCTGGTGGTGTCTTGAAACAGCACCGTCAGGTTACTCTTGTTGGCTTTCTGTTGTTCTACCTCGCGTTCGCAGCGGACCCTGCATCAATTCCGATTGTCGAAGGCCATTAGCGAACCGAATCACCAGTGGGGGGGGGTCGAGGATGAGGCTGCAACAAAGGCTGGGTCTAACGCTAGACCAGCTATGGCCTTTCATGGCCCTCTCTCCAACCTGTCGCGCGACACGCTGAATCCAGGCAACCACACACAAGAGGATACGTTTGCAATTCCTACTGCGGAGTACATGTGTTTCCGGAATAGCCGAGATCTCCGCGTTTCAAGTCTGGTTCATCCGCTCCACGCCTCGAGAACGTTAACTGCAATGCACGCCCTACCCACCCGATCAGCCCCCAACAGTGCAGATACTGAGTCTAAATCTTGTGCCGGTCGACGCCACCAAGCCTAGCCTGTAGGAACTCCTACAACACTCTACCCTCTTAGCGAGTCCCGCCGACAGCCGGTCGATCCTTCTGTGGGGGGTTACGTACGTGGCGAGTGATACTACAAGACTACAGGTAGAGCAGGTTGGCGGCACCGCCGAACCTTGGACGTCATCATCCTACACAGCACACGCAAGGGTGCAGGAGAAGAGCAATAGCCAAATCGCAAGCACTGCCTGCGTGGGTGCCGGTCGATGCAGTGTGGCAGCCACGGCGATAAAGTTAATGGTATACGGGTGCCAACGAGACTGGGGTTCCTGCGTGGGACCACAAGGTTTTAGGGGCTGCAGCTAGTAAGACAAGCGGTTACGGAATGGTCGGGGCCCTCACTTACAATCATGCAGCAGCTTCCTGAGCTGACGGCGCTCATCCGCGATGTCCGAGGGGCTGAAGAGGTCGGGGTTGAAATGCTTCTCCATCTTGCTATTGCGTCTGCTGTCGTCACCATCGGCCATTTCTTGCACATTTCTTGTCGGCAAACATACATACGTGTTAAGGAAACTGCGTATCAAGAACCCATCTTCCACAGAAAAAAAAACCGTCTGCACGGCGCCGTTGGCCTGGCTTTAATCGTGTATCTGAATGGGGCTACCCGCATTCCCCGACGCGTGTCTGCCAGGCTCGTAAAAAGCATTCGCCGTCAAAGGGATACAGTTCCTATATACGGTGGAGGAGACGGTACGTACCTGGAGTTGGTCAAGGTTGCAGAGGCACGAGAGGCTCCAGTGCAAGTCCTCTACCACCGGCACCAAGACGAACTTCTTGGTGAAGATATTCACGCCCCCGTACCAGCGCTGCACACTGCTGTAAGCCGCCTGAGAACAGCCGTTGGGGTTAGCGCATTCGGGAAATAGTGATGGAGTTAATAAGTTGTAGATATGTACATCAGTGCTCAAATCCCGCGCAATGCCGCGGTCATCGACACCCCGGTAGGGGGTGACGGGTGCCACAAACGAACACCTCCTTGTGCGGGGTGAAGGAAAATTAGATGAAGTACGAAGTAATTGTTTCACCCAGCTATGCGTACGTTGCACCCTAGGCCTAGGGGCTCATGAAGGAGATACAAAACTTGGAACAAGTGGGCCGTGGTGGCATCTGGATAGCGATGAAAGTGACACGAAATGAGCGCATTAACTTCAACTCTCAACATTGACTTATTTCGTCTAGGCATGTAGCGCCGTCGCCTGCTACAAGTAACCAGCACCGCCACGTTCCAGGGCCAGCGGCAATCGCGCTCGGCGCTAACAGAAACCCCGTAACGCTTCTCACTAGGTTAGGGCTTACATCGAAATCGGAGAAGCTCCTATTGGAAAGCTTGGCGTAGAAGGCGCCCATGGACCCACCATTCGCCGGCGTTCTACCAACACCACCGACAACAGCAGCGCCGGCGTCGGCGTCAAACCCGTCAGGCGCGGCGGCAGCAGCACCATCAGCAGAATCGGTTCCCTCGGCGACATCGGCACCTGCAAGAACGCCACCGCCACCGACGTCACGACGCCCGACGACACCGCCACCACTGCTTCACGACTACCCTCGTCGTCGTGGGCGCTACGTCAACTCTTCCACACCTGCTCCTTGTTAGTAACGCGCCTACATGAATGTGCCTGTAGAGTGAGAGGGGTGGGTGGGTGGGTGGGTGGGGTGGTGATTAGTCAACATGGCACCCGACCATAGATATCGAACGCACGCTTTGACGTAAGAAGTATTGAGTTTCCTTGTGTTTCCTTCGCCCGACACGTCGAAGGTAAGCAAAAGGGGAATGTAGGCTGGCGCCAGAGTTATTTTGTGTGAGGTACTTTTGAGTTCGCAGGTGGTTCCTGTTGTATTCTTATCCCTTACCCAGATCATTCGATGTAAGTATTGGATTTGGTTGGGTGAGGCCTCCTGCGCCTGCAGGAGGGCCTCGCCACAAGTAACCCTTTGGGCTGGGTGTGCCCAGGCCCAAAGTGTTTGAATGATCAGTAAGTTCATGAATATAGTAAGCATTGTGTAGGGTGGGTGGGATGGTCTCAAATATACCCCTTCTTCTCTGCTCCGGCGTATTTCGGGAGAGAAAAGGGGGACTAAACTAGGTGGGGTCGTTTTCCAACATCCTTTCTGGAATATCTGACTCTTCCCGATTTCGTTCCGAAACCTAGATGCGTCTCAAATCCGAGATTACCAACATATCTCTCCGTCTTGTACAGCTGAAACTCATGGTCCGGAGGTAAGAAAACTGTGATAAGCCCACCAGCAGCTACCGTTCACAGTAAGGACATACGTTTGAGAAACAAACTGGGCGTGGTTAAACAGCTGCAGCCCTTTTTTTTTCTTTGGGAATAAACGGCAGGTCGGACCCTACGTTAATGCTCCGTTATCGCAGCGAAGCTTGGAGGACTTGGTTCTTGTGAAGCGGGTTGACACGCGTGGTCAACGCATCGTCACACAAGTGCACCCCCCCCCCCCCTTCCCCCCCTTCAGCGTAGTCCATCGATCACATAACTCTCTCAGCCTACTAACCGGAACAGGTTGGTGACCGAGCACCAAGCACTATTCCCCTGTCACTCGACATCAATCGGTTTTTTCCTGCTCCTCCTGTCTCTCTCCCTCTATCCGCCCCCTTCGTCTTCATCTGCACTGACCTAAGTCTGACGGATGATAAAATCGTCCATAGGACGGCGCTTTCGCGATGCTTCCCTCGGCTTTGGTTTTGATGGCGATGAATGCGTTGTTGCCGTCGCCCCCTTCGCAGAACCTACGTTCCGCAATTTATCCGAACCGAGCGAGGCCAGACAGGGATACAAAGAGAGGGACAGAGAGAGAGAGAGAGAGAGAGAGAGAGAGAGAGAGAGAGAGAGAGAGAGATAGATAGATAGATAGATAGATAGATAGATGGAGAGAGAGAGAGAGAAGGCGAGGGGGAGGAAGCGAGAGAGAGAAGATGAAAGTTAAATAGACTCGTGAGATCGTCGTGCATTTAAGGGGAGGGATTAAAGATCAACCGCGCTGCCCAATACGAACGTACACACCCAACTCCCACGGCCAGGCGTGCCTTACTCGGGATTAAACCGACCCACTCCGGTGAAGACACAATGCGTTCATGACATCGCCCGGGGCACTGTCTTACACAATCTGTCCATAATTCTACCAGAAAATTCCGGCGGTGCTCCAATATACAACATCCACAAAACTCGCCCGAAAACGGTCACATCGAACAGAATGCACAGCGTGGTGTCCTCCGGGTCCCCGCTCCTGTGGAATCGACAGACTAAAGCCAAAGAAGGAAACCGAGAGGGACATGCGCGACATCACGCAACGCAGAGGCGGGTGAAGTACGAGGTTAAGGCGAGGCATGGCTCTCGTTAATGTCCCAGGGTCTTCGTTATTGTGTGTTTTATACGGTTCACGGGTGAAAGTGTAGCAAGCAATTCCCAGAGACTGTGGCCTCGCCGACTGACAACTACTCCATGATCTCGGCGGCTCGCGCTTCGCCGTAGCAGTCACATCCCAGTACAATGTTTTTAAAACATTAAAAACAGCTTGAGTAACCCCATCGGCTAATAGATTGTAGCGCACATCAGTCTAGGCGTTGTTCCCAAGCGTCGAGCCTATTTTGGGCTGTCTGGGTTGAGGGGAGGTTTAGCGCAGTCGTCCTGCATATAATTCTGGCGAACGAGCGCAGAGAAGTGCTTTACGTTCATCTTGTTTCGTTCTCTTTGCGGTACTCCATTCCCCATTACAACGTGGTTGTGTTTGTGAGGAACCTGCGGAAGGCGCGTGCTGACTAGGTATGTACTTGCTCCATAGCCAAGTTTGAGTGTTGTTTGAGCATTGAATGGCTACACCTCGAACGCGGAGGTCAGAATCCCCCTAGCCGTACGTTGTCATAGCCTGTGTCCGTAGGTAATCACCGTCTCAGAAATACCTTGCGCCGTTCCTCATACAGCAGAGAAAGCCGTGGCATTTGGTGATCGTGGTACGTGTAGGGTCTGACACACACAGAACACCGGCCACAAAGACTAGGGCTTTGGCATTCATGGGCATGGTCTCCTACATCACAGACGATACTGCTGCCTGAGCAAGGTGCGATCTCCACCTCAACCTCTCCAGCCGATCGTCAACCCCACGAGATTGTTTATCGATACGTAGCAGTCACCCGTCACGGTCCATTTCCCGATCATGATCGCCTCCCCAGCCGTCTCCGGAACGGACCCAGCCTTCGGGGGTGTCGACTTTGGGTGTTGTCTCGCCACCTTGCTCGCGAATAACAGAGAAGAGGGGGGAGAACAGTTAGAGCTTAGCTCGTCAACAAAAACCACGGTGCCGCAATAACGCTGAATACGCCTCGCATCTCGCCGTACGATTAGGTGCATGCGACGGTCACATTCTACACCCTCTCGGGACCGGAGAAACGACGTGAGGCCGATCGACCGAAGAAGTCGACCTCACCCCCAGAACGTGGTAATTGCGTAATCGCGATTGAAAGCCGTGTGTGTTCTACCCTTGCATGTTGTATGTCGGTGTGCAGTCTTTTGGCCAGGTAATCATCACGACGCCACAAAATACATCTAACCTCAACGTTCGCAAGTCGACAATACCACGCAAAGGTTGATGCACCTTTCCCGGCGCTTGCGGCGACGATGACGAGCCGGCCCGTCGTTCGTTGACGCCCGAGAGGCGAGCCTTGTCGTACCCGCACGTCCTGTTCGGGCCTTCTACTTTGACGTCAGCGAACCTCGGGGGTTTCTTTGCGTGCTTTTCCATCACGACTGCATAATTTGCCAGTACAGGTGTGACGTTGTGGCATCCCATACAAAGTGCCCCGCGTGCAAGGAGATCCACAGTGTACTACCACGCCCCTTTGGGGTCTGACCAGTCATGAGGTTTGATTACGTGTGATGACTGATGAGATGTCATGAGCGGCGATGAGCGCTATTATTAGCGATCATGAGCTGTCATGAGCTACCATGGGCGCTCATGAGCGCTCGTGAGCTGCCATGATTGCCCATAAGTGCTCATGAGCGCTCACGAGCTGTCATGAGTGCCCATGAGCGCCCATGGGCTGCCATGTGCTGTGATGAGCGCTCATGACCTGTAATGACCTGTAATGAGCGGTGATAAGCGGCCATGAGCTGTCATGAGCGGTGATGAGTGGTCATGAGCGATCATGAGCCGTGAGAAGCCGTGATGATCTGTCATGAGCGGTCATGAGCGGTCATTGGCCGTGATGAGCTGTCATGAGCGGTGATAAGCGGTCATGGGCCGTGATGAGCTGGCATGATCGTTCACGGGCGCCCATGAGCAGTAATAAGCTGTCATGAGCTGTCACAAGCTGTCATGAGTTGTCATGAGCCGTAATGCGCTATCGTGAGCGGTAATAAGTTGTCATGAGCGGTAATGCGCGCATGAGCGGGGATGAGGGCTCATGAGGTGTCATGAGGGCTCAGGAGTGCTCATGAGCCGTGATGAGATGTCATGACGCCTCATGAGCCGTGATGAGCTGCCATGGGCGTGCATGAGCGCTCATGGGCGCCTACGAGCCGTCATGAGCGGTCGTGAGCGCTCATGAGCGACCATAGTGTGTCCCACGAGATGCGTCATGGTAACTCTTGAGACGTCCCGTGACGTCTCGTGGAACGCCTCAAGGGGGCCCATGGGGCATCTCACGGCCACTCATGGGCCGACCCATGAGGCGACCCATGAGTCGGCTCATGGGTCGCCTCATGATTCGGCTCATGAATGGCCATGAGGTGCCATGGGTCTCATGGGGCCCCGTGAGCCGCACGATGACACCTCGAGGCATCTCGCGAGCCAACCCATGAGGGGTCGTGGTGCAACTCATGGGCGCTCATGGGGCGCCTCGTTTTTTGTTCAAATAACGGTGTATGATAACACGAGCAACCTCCGCCAAGCTCCCAAACCTCCTAGAAATAGGCATACATACATGTATCTCTGCTGAATGTAGGGGCATCGGCAATGATTCATGATGACAAAGCGACCAACATGAAAAGACCATCCCCGCCCCCAACGCTGCTTCCTGCTTCTTCAATCCAAACAACAGAAAATCATGCCAGAGATCCCCACCACGTACAGAGACGCCACCAGCACCCTCGAGCTCCTGGACCGCGATGAGCGGACGAACGGCGCCAGGGCGAGCGGTGCAGGCAGGGGCACCATCGGCAACAGCAAGGGTGCTACCGTGGAGTCGGGTGTGGAGTATATCCCGTACAGACCCCCGGACACAAACGCGAACTCCCGTGCCTCTCAAGCGGCTGGAAGCGGCATCAAATTATCTAGACAGTGATACGCAAGGGAGAGACGGAGGCAGGCAGTAGTTAGGCTTAGAACAGTTCGTT